ATTAGGTTTTCGGTGGTATTACGTGTACGGGAAAGGTCGAGGCTTGGACGGGGGGGGGGGTGTAGGTTTAGATAGCCGTTGGCTGAATTAGAGTTTTCGAGAGTTGAGTTGCGATCACGATTCAATAGACAGTGAATGAAATATAGCAATCGTTTCCCCAAAGAAATTGCTCAATGAAAACATTTTTTTTTAGGTTCCCAAGAGGAAAAGTGTTCCGCGCTTCTTGGCTGCTTCTGTATGCAACTATAGACGAGGCTCCGATGTGTAGAGTGGCAAAGGCCAAAACGCCACTATCAATGGCTCTCAACGCCCCAACCGTGCGCAACAATAAACTACCGCGGAGCCAAAAGGGTCTCGGTACCCTCTACACGAGTCGTAGAACAGTGTGCAGCTGAAAAAGCATCATGTTCTATACGGATGGCTAGTCTACTTGGGTCAATATACATACCTACGTGTTATTTAGCAATCGTCACGGCCATCGTGAGCTGTGAATAGAATCGTATCGAAGCTCTCGGCGCATTTCTCGGCCCCGCCTCAAAAATGCCCAGGAGCAGGGTATCTGGGATACCAGGCCAAGCCAAAACCCCACAACCGTCATCGTGAACTGTACCAAGACCGACAGCAACACTTTATTTCCTTCTTCTTCTTTTTTGGAGTCCACCTCAGCATGATCAGGTAACCTCCATCCAAACACTGTCGTCCACATGTTGCATAATTCTTGCAAATCGAAAAAAGCCATCTGACTCATTTTCGGCTTTTTTGTATACACGCAAAGTCCGAACATGAAACCGCACTGACCCGCGCGGCCCAACCACTTGTTCGCTAAAACCAGACACTCACTCTATCACGAACTCTGTTTTTCTTCTTCTTTGGGTGGGAAATGTCGATCCTCAACCCTATATCCGGGGGAGGGCCGACAAAAGCCTCGTATTATTAGGCACCACACGGCAAAGGCAATGCACACACACACACACACATGGCAAGGACTGGCATTCTTTGCCGATGCCATACGGCGCAATCCCAGCAAGGCAGACAAGACCAAAACGCAGTGAATGACGATGATGGGGTTTTCCTCTGCTGCCCAGGCTCTTAGCCGGCGGTAGACAAGAAGGTCTAGGCCTGCGGACGCTGCGACGTGAGGGGCGCTAAAATCACGAGGACTAGGCGCCCGGGCTTGGCCTATGGGCTTCGCTGGCGGAAAGCGGACGAGAGAGAGAGAGGAGAGGGGACAGGTTGCAGGGCGGTATTATGGGCTTTTGGGCAAGTGGGATGTCCGGTATTGGCATGGGCATGGGGGTGCGGGGCCTTGAACGACATACCGCGCGCATGAACCACTTATCACCGTGGGCCGGACACAATAAGTCGGCACACCTCAGCTGCATCGGGGAGACTTGCCACGCGTTGTGCAGGTGCGAGGCCGAATCAGCGCTGGTAAGCGGAGGAGACGGAGATAGTGCCCCGCTGCCCTAGCTAGAGATGGGGCCGCTGGTTGGCTGTGTCTAGGGCCGGGTGGGTAATACGGTGCTTGGATTGTCGGGGATAGGGTTTTGGGTTGGTGTGGGCTACATGGGTGGAGCTTGGGGTGGTGTGTGAGTGGCATCGTTGAGAGAGCGATAGGGCCTCTGTTTTGGCTGGGGTGGTCTGAGAGTTGACAGTATATAGATGGGTGCTTGTCCCCCCACCTCCATGCCTTGGAAGCCAGAACATCGTGAACTTCATATACTCGACATCTTCATCTTCGAGTCATTCAAACAGTAATACATCGACCGTCACCTCTACTACTACTACTACTACTACTACACACTACAACATCAATACTACCATCAACACCATGTCTTCCCCAGCACCTCAATACGTCTACGTCCCCAACCTCGTTGGAGGACAAATGCTCCGCCTCCCCATTGAGGACCTCTCCTCCGACAGCGAGTCCACCATCTCCCAACAACCCATTGCCAGCCCAACTCTCTCCTCACGATACACCCGCGACTCGTCCCCTTCGCCAAGCGTCGAGAGCGTCGAGTCCGAGGAGTGATGAGCTCATCATCCGTCCCACGTGGGGAGTAGAGACAGACACGAGCGAGAGCGGAGAATGACGACAACGGGCCTTTGCAGCCCAAACCCACAAAAGTCCAAGACACGGCAACCAAACTGAAACTAGCGAGCGGAGAGGAAGCAGGAGGAGAGAGGACCCTTTTTTTTTGCCAAGTCCCCTTTTCAGCGATGGAGAACGATGAAATTACACCTACCGAATCAGTCTAATTACGCGCACGAAAGAGAAGGGAGGGAAAGAGAGAAAGAGGAGTGACATCATTTTTGGTCATTGCTCCCTCTTTCTCTCTTCTCTCTCTCCGCTCTTTGTACGACAACCCAACCCTTCTTTTTACCCAACTCAGCCCAACACGACATAACGCACGTACGCACGCACCTCCCTTTTTCTCCCTTTGTCAATTTCAAGCCCAGAGAAGAAAAAGACTGTGCTTGTTTTTCTCCTCCTCCCCTCCCGATTGTTGTCGGCCCGACAGAACGGATTGGAGAAGAATGGCCACGTGGAGGTGGGAGTATGTGTGTGTGTGTGTGTGTGTGTGTGTGTGTGTGTGTGTGTGTGTGTAAGAGATAAGGGTATTCCGGGGGTGAAAAACAAAAGGTCGGCTTTCTTTGAAACTACACCAAACTCGCACCTTTTTTCGGTTCATCAATTTTTTTTCTCTTTCGCTTCCTTCTTTTCTTTCTTGGTGGGTTGGGATCGGGCTTGGCTTGCATGATGGGCATGCGCGGAAGCAGGAGAAGGAAGCTTGGCCTCGGTTAGAAGAGCGAGGGGGGTGTGGTGCGGCGCGTGGGAGTGGGAGGGGGGCATGGGACGATCGCTGCATTGTTGGGGAAACAGAGCACGCGGGCTACTACTCTCAACCCCCCCCCATCCCCTCACCTCTCTCTCGGCCGACCCTGCTTGCGGGGATCTTTTGTTCTTTTTTGCACTTTTACCCCTTCGATGCTTCGCTTACCAATAGTAAGCTGATTCATCAGGCAATTGCTTCGAGGGTGTGGTGACGCAGAAGCATCAGTTGGGCCGCCAAAAAAGTTAACCGAGATGGTAATAGTTTTAATAGTTAGTTATTAATGCAAATAAATGTCGTGGTATCCTTTGATTTGTTTGCGAGGTTTGTGCACAACATGTCCTTGTGACAGGTGTAAGCTTGGTCCTTGCAGCGTGTGTCTCTGAGAGAGAGAGAGAGAGACACAGTGAACCGTGCATATCATTATTATGGGATATATGTATGGGTAGGGTTCGGGCCTGTAGAAAGCTCGGATACTCGGATGCAGCGTCATGCGTGAGGCAGCAAAAGAAAACAAAAAACGAAAAGATTGGCCTGATGGAAAAGGTCTGGATCTTCTCGCTTCTCGTTTACGACTGACTAGTAGCTTACGGGGACGAACCTATGCAAGTATATCATGTGATGCAAAGACGGTGATGACGATGTTGCGTAGAGTACAACAGGTTCCACCATCCCGCACATCGTCATTCTCCTGCATGTCTGTGTGATACGTTGCTGCCCCGTTGCCCAAAACTTTAATGGTCAGTTAAGAGTCAGTCAAGTTGGGCCACGTAGGCAGGCACCCTTCGCACGCACGGTTACTATGCCTATCCAGGCTTTTTTTGTTTTGTTTTTGTTTTGTTTTTTTCCCTTCCCAATTCCTATCTCCTCATGGGTTTGGGGGGCATATTACACATATGCAACTCTTTGCTGTACTGTACTTACCTGCAACACTGCATCTTTCTTGCATCCGCACGCGAGAATGCCAAGATTGTGGAATGCTAGAGTACATACTGCCGGCACCGATGCCCAAAACCCTGACGTCTCTCGATGCCGAGGCTAATGACGCCTGACTTCACCATGTATGGTCCATGCTTTATTGTTCTTTTTTGGCAAGAACTACTATCTGAGCGGTGTAGGCGTTATCAGGGACAAGAGGCTAGAACCTCTCTACCTCTATAGTAGTGATTGATCTGGCAAGGAATAGATATGATGCCAGCGTTACAACGTGAGGATATTGGGCAGTACGTGGCTCTTGGGATCATGAGCGTGTGCATGTAAAACGTACCGATGGAACAGGGTGATGGCGAAGGGAAAAAGAAATAACGTTATCACAAGGTGAGGCGAGCCCAAGATACAGGTGAGACAGCTTTGGATGTATTTTTAGGGAAGAACTCCGAGCCAGTCGATCTGGTGAGCCGCGGCGCTGAAGAGCCTGCATGTACCAAGCACTGCACCTCATCGTTGTGGAGTGACCTTTTTTTCACGATCATGCATTTCACCCAGATAGTAGCCATTGCGTTGTTCAATTGCCAGTAATTGCGTGAATACTTGGCATAGAATGGAAGAAATATTGTGAGGTACGTCATTGAATTCATGTGCTCTGCTTGGCTACTGACAGGAGGTGCTTGACTCCCCCGTATTCACAATGAATCCGTTGGACAGTGTCAAACCGTAAACCCACCATCTCTGAGCAGAACTTGGAGAAAGCGCTGTCATCTCTACAAAGTACACCGAGATATTTATTCACTAGAATATTGCGTTTCATGAGAGTGCTCCTGTAGTCAGAGACTATAGATATGGGTGTGCCTAGGTACAGCGAGGATGTCGGGTGATATTCAGCATGAAGTGCCACTTGCTTTGGAAATACAGATACAGTACGTAGGGCGTGAATCGCACATCATAGGGAAGTAGGTCATGCTGCCTTATGCTTTTCACTTGCACATTGTTGGTCCTGCTATGAGAACAACCCGTGTGTAGAACCAGAATGACAGTGTGAATGGTGATAATGAAGGGAAGATAACCAACTTGAACATGTACTGGCAAACAAACCGCACTGTGTAGAAACTATAAATGAGCCACTACTATTACATAACACAATACCCAAGTTTCCATAATATACGCATAACAACCAGAGCCAGTTTGATCCCCAAGCTCCCTTATACTAACATGGCACCACCACCCGAAATGATCATCCTCCAAATCCCAATCTTCTACCAAAAATGGGTCTGGCGGAAATGTCCCTGCCACCCACGCTACCACAAAACAACAGCAAAGTACGTTGCTATGCCACCTTCAACTGACCCTGTCATAGCCGCTCGAAATGAAGCCATAATTAAAGACTGGAGGGCATGGCGCTGGAACGTCTACAATATCGACATGACCGCCTCGTCGATGAAGAAATGGTGGTCTCAGTACGAAAAGGAATCAAAGCGCGAGTCATGGCAGGACGATTTATGGCGCATCTGGCAGGAAGAGCATGGTTTTAGGATCTTGGTGGAAGAGGCGGAGAAAGAGGCAAAGGAAGAGGCGAAAAGGAACGCTGCCAATGATGAGAGCGAGAGCGAGATCAAGATGGATGCAGTGATTCGGGGGGTGAAGAAGATTGGTCAGTGGGCGAGACACTCGAGCCAGGCGACGGCGGAGGCGGAGGCGGAAATGCGACAGGCCGAGGATAGGAAGAGGCAGTTGTGGGAGGAGGCACATGTGGGTCGTAATGCCTCTGAGATTTCGCTGCCCGAGTCATTCATGACGAGGCTTGAGCTGTGGAGAGCCGGTGAAGAGTAGAAGGTGTATGAGCCGTTTGTATTTTCCGCAACTTCATGGATGTATAGAAGGCAGGTCGTTCCAATTCAAGTAAAGCCATGTGATCCCTGTAAATTCCAGTCATAGTCGTCTTCAACTATTTCCGCACCGCTCCCCAGCGTATCTATGAATATCCTCCCTTTTCCGTATCTTTATTTTCCTTCCTCTTACTCTTTTCACCTCTAATTCTTTTCGTCTCTTCAACTCCGCTGGTTAAGTTCCGATGCGAGACTCTGACTTCCCACTCCCCTTGCTCACACCACTGCACCTGTCCCAGCTTCTCTGCAAACGCTACACTGCGATGATGGCCGCTCCCGCAGAGACATCCTACCCTCACAATAGCCGTCTCACCTGACCGAAGAGTCCTCACGTCTTCCACCTCCATAAGACGTCTTATGTCGCTTTCAGCCTGTGTGACCATGTTGCTAAACGAGCTCCGGCTCATGAGCTCTTCTTGCAAAACGGCGTCAAGCCCTGTACATGTTTTGCGGAGTTCTTCAGATGGGTTATTGGTTATGCGGCAGTCGTATTCGAGATCGGGTGTCGGACTTAGTGGAGTGAAGCGGTCGTAAGACGTGATCTCGAGGACGGGCCGTTTCGGTTCCGGCTGGGACTGCTTTGAACTATCGAGATTTCGTTTTGACGAGGATATTTCCTCTTCCGTAGGAGGTACTAAGCGAATACTCTTCACTTTAGAGGCGATGTCTGATATTATCGTCATGCTTCGGGAGGTCGGGAAAGTGATGCGTGTGAGTGGTAGTGGGACTTATCAGTCGATGGGTGCTTACTGGCCTGGGAGATCAACATATATTCTTTCCGATCTGTATGACCTCCACAAATCGACTGGTCCAAAATACGTTCCTTTCTGGCAATGCTAGTTTGGGCAGGAGGCCGGCTCACCATCATGTGAGCTACAACCATAGAAGCCCTGAAGTTTCGTTGGCGCATGACGTCGGGCCCCATGTAAAACGCGTCATCATACAAGAACATCGCATATTATTTATCCGTCGAAGAATTATTGCTGAACCTTCCTCGGATTGAGGGTAGGAATTTGACTCCACAATACTGCGGCCAACGCTTCGAACACGGACGTTCTTTGAGTACCAATGCGCTGTAGTTCTCTCCCTTATTTCGAGGATTCTTCACCGTTTGGCTTACTCTGTACAACCTCCTCTTCAAATCGCCTTCTGGCAAGCCCCCCGAACTCCGGTGCCTATCAATAGCTAAAAATAGGCGAGGATCTTCAAGAACTTTCGGTGCGTCTTTCGTCTCCTCACCTAACATCCAATCAAGTACGGTAACGTCATCCGGGTCGTGGGCGGAGTGTAGAACATCTTCATGATCCTTGATAGATTGATCAGACCTTGAAACTTGATCTTCATTCATTGGCTCTTATCGTGTCTCGCGACAAGTAACTGGACTGATAGAAAAAAAGCGTGTGTTTCTGAAGTGTGATCACTAGCGCTCCACCACCCCACAGAAGTCACGTCGGTCTCAGAGTACAACGCATGTTGCCGTTATACTTTAGGTGTGGATTGCATTGGCTGTGGTTTAAATTCCATTTCATTGACGACGCGAGTCCTACGAACAGGACTTGCTCCAGGTGGCATTTCTGGTGACGTAGTAGACGTGCCGGGTGATCTCAACGTGTGTTCAACATTGACCGCTGAATACGACCTTACAGCTCGAGGTCAGAAATATAACGCAGTTTCCTCATCCAGATCTAAGTGAATCCATGTGATACCTAGTGTCTATGTTCGGTAGCTTTTGTAGCAAGCCTTGGCTCGAAGAGTGACCGTGATCGGAATTGTCATGGTAAAGTCCTGCATTGATGAAGCAGGCAGCACCTCCCTTGGTCTCACACGTGACTTTTGAGGAAAGAGGGAAGAGGGAACTGCTGTAGAGTTGTTGTCGGAATGAGGCGAATCGGTCTCCAGTGTTTCACATGAGGTTGTCGGACATTTGACCAGATTGGCTGCTGATGATGGGCCCGGCTCGATAATAAGTGTTTTCTTGGCAGGGGTTTTTGGGTTCGAGGGCAAAAGAGTAGACAAGTTTTGAGAGTATTCGATCAGCTGTGAAACTCTGTTCGCCTTCCGATGAGGGAGAGGCGTCTGGTGGGGGCTGGCCGGGGGGTTGTCCATGTCTAGAGTAAGATCGGAAAACAAAGAAATCGAGAAAGTTACAAAGAGCGGATGCTGTAGAATCCACAGAACATATGGACGCTGTGAGAACTTTCGTAATTGATCTTGCGGGTTCGTCGTGACAGAAAGGTGAGAAAGTGCGAGTGCACTACATACGAACAGTAATGTATTTGTTGTGAGGGTGAGGATGACCCATGGTTGAGTGTAGGCTATGCCACTCTAGCCGTCAACGCCGGAATCTTTTGAGGCAAGCATGGCACTTGTACGTCAAACACCGAGTTCGTTTTATTCGCATAGTACTTCGGAAAAAGTACTTGGAACGATTCCAATTTGCAATTATAACTGCAGATCTTTGGGCGATCGATGTGTATGTTCGGATATTTTCAGGTATCTCTCATACGGCAAGGCTGTGGATGAGATGCAGCATAACTCGATCAAGTCGGATGGCAGCTACGTAAGCTGACCATCGATGCTCGTACTCATGCTCTTTCCAATTTTCATATTATGCAGTAGCAAGGGGTACCGGATTGTGATGGACACAAATGATTGCATGTGACGGACGTGGCAATTGTGAAGGATTAGTATTTATAGAATGATATGTCTACGATAGGCAAAATTATTCCGAGAAGGCTCTGGAAATGTATAAATAACTAGGGAATGAGTTCAGTGGTGTTTGTCTTGCAAGCAGGTTTGGATGAAATCTGGGGAAACCATGGTCGGAGTTAATCCTCTGGTCTTGGCGAATGACTCAGTCGCCGACGACCCCTCCCTACAAAATATCCAAAAGTCTACGGAATAGCAACACACACACATTTTACCGCCAAGATGAGTACAGAAACCGCGGCCAAGACGAAGCCCGACTTCGACATTGTCGCAACCTATCGCCGAATCCTAGAAGATGACCCCGAGCTTACTATGCCCGTCGCGGCCATCGAGGCGCTCGTCGAAGCAATTGCACAAAGTTCCGTGTCGACCGTAGCCGAGACTCTCGATCTTCTCGAACGCCACACTGCCGCGCTGAAGGCTTCAATCGCAAACCCTATATCCCTCTCTGCCGGCACCGACCTCTTCCAGCGCTATCTTATTACCACCCTCAACCGCCCCGCCAGCCTGAATCTGGGCCCAGAAGATGATTTCCGCGCGATACGAAACCACTTGCTCTCTAACGGAAAGCTATTTGTGGACAGAGCAAAGCAGAGCAGGGAGAAGATAGCCAGTTTTGGCAAGCACTTCATCCGGGACGGCGGCACTGTGCTTACAAACGGTGGCTCGCGAGTGGTGGGTGCGCTGTTGAGAAGGGCGGCCGAATCAAGCACTCTTCGCTTCAAGGTCGTATATGTCCTGCCATCTGAAAGTTCGCTCGATTCCAAGGAGGGGTTGCAGACGGTCGCCGATCTCCGGGAACACAATGTACCGGTGGCCACGATCCCAGACTCGGCAGTTGCATACTCTTTGGGAAAAGTCGACATGATCATTGTGGGCGCCGAAGGTGTTGTAGAAAACGGCGGAATAATATCGCGCATGGGAACATACCAGTTGGGCGTGCTAGCCAAGAGCAAGGGAAAGCCATTCTACGTCGTGGCTGAGAGCCACAAGTTTGTTAGGCTCTACCCGCTGAGCCAGTTCGATTTGCCAATCGAGCAGAAAGTCTTGGACTTCAAGGTGGCCGAGGAAAACAAGGGTGAACAGAATATCAAGGGTGAACAAGAGCAGCGTAATGTCTTCGACGAGGCCATTGCTGACATGACCGCAAAACAAGGCTCGACAGTCGCTCCGCTCGACGCACATGACGCCGTTGATTTCACTGTAGGTTTCACATCGTGCAGTTCATGTATAATGTACTAACCAAAAAACAGCCTCCAGATCTGATCTCTGGAATCATCACTGAGTCAGGTGTCCTCACTCCGTCTGCAGTCTCGGAGGAGCTGATTAAGATATGGTTCTGAGCCCTCTCTGAGCACTCAACTCCTCATACGCTCCGAATATATTTACTCAACTGATCCTTCCGCCAAGTCCAACAGCAGAGTGAAAGTTACTCACGTTGGTGTTAGGAACTACCTCGATGTGGAGATCTTCACTTCGCGCACTTAGCGTCCCCGCCACGAATAACGCAGCACATGATGAGGCAAATCACCGTGAATCAAAGAACAGGGTGAATGCCAAGACCACTCACCCGGTCTCGGGACGGGTTGTGTGTCGTATTGGTTGGTCTAGATCGCCACTCAGCAACAGGCCGTTAATGGTAAAACGTCATTTTGTATAAGGTGGCAGCGGCTTATGATACCCAATAGAAATACCCAATAGAGCCAATTTGGTATTTCTTGGTTTTCAAGAAGAAAACCATTTACATCGTTTTGTTGGACCTGTTCTACATGTAAATCCATGATTCTGCTATCACCAGTAGCCTCTGCGGCCCATCAACGTGACTACCTGGCCTCCGAAATACACAAAACCTTGACCGGAGTGGTTTATGCATTCCCAGAATGGTAAAGAAGCGTGAGTGAAATCGGTACATATGACCGCATGTAGCCGGACCCGAGTGAACAAACGTGATGCACACACTCACTATAAAATCACTCCAGCAGTACTGATACTACTTTGATTTGCAACTCAACTCACCCAACTTACTTGACCGACTCAGTCAACTCTCGTCATGCTTTCAAACTACTCCACCCTCTTTGCCAAGTCAAAGGCGCAAGCCAACCAGCCCCGTACCCAAAGCACCTCTCACTTCTTCCGCAAAAACGACACAAAACCCAAGCCCAAATCAACAACCAAGACGCCAAAAGACATACACAAAACCCGAGATCTTGTATCCCGCTACTTGTCCTCCTCCAGCGTCACATCTATCTTGCATCTATCCCGCAAACCCAAACCCAACACCATGTCTCTCCTCGACCCACCAAAGTACACTATAGGAGTCCACCGCCCACCAAACAAAGATAAGCGCGGCGCTCGTAGTAGCACGGGGCAGCCGGAGTGGTACGTGACGTATCGCGCTATCATGGACGAGGAAGAAAAAAGGAAGAAGAAAGTGCGCAAGGAGGAAGATAAAGCGTGGGAGAAGGAGGTGAGGAGAGATAAGGAGAAGCATGCGAGGGACAAGTTGGGGAAGGAGGGTGTGTTTGCGGATGTGTTTGTCTTATTGGGTTAGGGGTGGATGGGGAGTCATATTGATTGTATGTTGGACTGAACCCGATCTGACAAAGGCGGAGAGATGCATACAGTAGAAGGCTATAAAGCATATGGAGTGGTAATGTAGAAGCAGGAGGTAGATGGATAAATGGATATCATTCAACCATGCATTGCTTTTTCCTCTTTCATGTCTATGTATCTCTCAAAATCTTACTTTTTTAGGTGCAGGTGTCTAAGCGTGGTATGGAATCGTGGGTATCGCTGAAAAAGGAGGAGTGATGAAATTGAAGGTACGGGTTAGACGGATTTACAAGGCCCACCCTGCCTTCTTCTTAGCTGCCTTTGTCGTTATTGTGGGACCAGATGGTGGAGGTGGCTTGATGTCGTTAAGGTCTGGTAGGGGGTCGTTGTCTCTGATCTCGAGGATCGTCATTTGAGAAGCGAGTGTTGTAGATGCATGCTGCTCGTCGTCGTCTTTCGATCCGGTTTCAGCCGAAATGTCGTCACCAACTGGCCCACCTTCATTGTCATTGTAGTCTTCAGCCTCGCCGTAGTCTTCCTCAAAGCCAGCTTCATCCTCATCCTCCTCACCAGGCTCGTTACCATCCACACCTGATTCGGCGTTTGCAGCATCGCCATCGATACCGTGCTCTTTCATGTAAACTTCTAGTTCCTTTGCCATCTTCTTGCTGAAACCAGAGGCCTGCACTTCGACATCCAATCTCTTGACCAGCTTCTTTGTCGCATCTTTGAAGAATGGGCCGGGCTCGTCGCTTGTGAAGCCAAAACGACGATCGAAGAAGCGCTTTATGCAGGCGACGTCGCGGTCAAAATAGTATTCGGCGTTGGCATGGTCGATGGAAACCATTTGCGGGAAATCAATAAGAGTAGGTACTAGGATCATGTTGCCATCCTTTTCTGTACGCTCCTCGACAAGGATGTTGAATTCGTTGAAATCTCCGTGGATCAGACCATACTGTGCAAGGCGGACAATGAGGGCGAGGAGTTCAGCGTAGAGAGGCGCAGGATTGCCGACCTTGGAGATCTGGCGCATTGGAAAAGCATCGATAAGGCTCATGACGACGGTGTGCCTGTTCTGGCCGACGGGCTCGGGGACTGGAAAGCCCTCTGCTCGCAACGCCTTCATGAACTCATATTCTTTCAGGGCGGCGAGACGCGACATGTACATCCACGAGCCACCTTGGCGATTCCGCAGATAATCACGGTTCGCTTTGACTGTGCGGAAGGATATGCGGCCCAGACGGTGGATCTTAAGAACCAGCTGCTTGCCCGTCTCGGAGGCACACACAATAATATCCGACTCCTTGCCTATGCCGATTTGGTTGCCAACCGAGTACACAGTAGCAGCCTTCTGGTGGGTGTGTAGGGCGAGGTAGTCGAGGCCGCCGTACGTCAGCCGGTAGCCGTCGTATTTGGCATTGCGGACTTTTGCGATGAGGCCAATTTTGGCCAGATTGGAAATGCAGCGGTGAACGCCAGTGCCTGAGCGAAGAGCCGCAATCTGGGAAATCAGAGGCGTAGGCACAATCTCATGGTTTCGACTGCCCATTTCTGTCTGTCATGGTCTTGATCAGCGTTAGTCCCCCCCACCATAGACACAGACGAAGACACGGGTTGCGGGCGCATACCGCAGTCAGGACGCGCCAGTCGTCGGCGGTCAGGTAGCGAATGTTCTTAACGTTGAGCTTCATGGCAGGCGTATTCCGACGGCTGTCCGGGTGAGAGTGAAGGTGGTTGCTGGGGTTGGGTTAAGTGGAGGAATATAATTTTTGGATGATTCTAAGACGAGAGAGGGTCTGAGCGCCCGCTGCCGCCGCCGCAGCTCATCATCGGCGGACGGTGCTTGGCCCTAGCGCGGCGGAAGTGGTACGCGAACGCAAGAGCTGCCTCATTGACATCAATCCGCCCATTATCATTTCCCTCACCAGCCTTACAGCTGCTCCCGTTTCATTCGAGTGGCGCGTGTACATCTCCCATCACTAAACGCAGCCCCCTCATTACCGGCCGTCGACGCCGCTATCTCCCCGCACAATACACATAGTTCGCCGCCGGTGGTAGCGACACATCGTAATCAACATGGCCAAGGACGACGACAAGAAGCCCACGACTGCCGACAAGGGCAAGGGCAAGGCGCCGGCCGCAAATGATGCAGACAAGAGCAAGGACGCAAAGCCCGATGCAGAGGACAAGAAGGGCGGAGTGGCGACGACTGGCGGTATGTTTGGCCTGCAATCAAGCTGAGATGGTAGCTATCTCGGTGATTATATACTGACGGCCAACGGCAGAGGAGCTTAGCGAGGAAGACCAACAGCTCAAGAGCGATCTGGACATGCTTGCAGACCGGATACTGGTATGTGATGCTGTCTTTCCTGTGCTCCCCGCAGCATGCGCTGACCTCGTGCCTCTCTTAGGGATCCGACACCAGCCTGTACAAGCCCGCACTCGACCAGATCAAGGAATTCATCAAGACATCGACGAGCTCCATGACCGCTGTGCCCAAGCCGCTCAAGTTCCTCCGACCACACTACGAGAGCCTAGAGAAGGCCTACGCATCATGGCCAGCCGGCGAGAACAAGGTACGCTGATGTGGCTGTTCAAGGGCGCGAGACAGGGCTAATTGGAGAAAAAGCAATCGTTCGCCGACATGATGTCCGTTCTGGGAATGACATACTCCGACGAGGAGCGCCTGGACTGCCTCAAGTACCGCCTCGAAGCCCCCTCCACAGATCTTGGCTCATGGGGCCACGAGTACATGCGCCACCTTGCGCTTGAAATTGGCTCCGAATACCAGAACCGCCTCAACGACGACAAATCCACCGATGATGTGACCGACCTCGCCTCGACCCTCGTCCCTTTCTTCCTTAAGCACAACGCTGAGGCCGATGCTGTCGATATCCTGTCCGAGCTCGAGATGATTGACCAAATTGAGCAATACGTTGACGAAAACACATACTCGAGGGTAGCCCTTTACATGGTCAGGTATGGGCTTTCCAAGATGTACTATTACGGACTGTACTAACTGTCATAGCAATGTACCCCTGCTCACATACCCGGACAATGACAAGTTCCTCCGCACCACCTATCGCATCTATGCCAAATACAAGCAATACACACAGGCCATGGCGATAGCCATACGGTTACACGAGAAGGAGCTGATCCAAGAAGCTTTTGATGCCACAAAGGACAAGTCCATTCGCAGGCAAATGGCCTTCCTTTGCGGGCGACAGCGGATATGGTTTGACGTATCCGAGGACGAAGACTCTGAGCTGCAGGAGTGTCTTAACAACACCCGCTTGCCTGATCACTTCCGAGCGCTCGGCAAAGAGTTGAACATCCTGGACCCCAAGTCTCCCGACGACATTTACAAGACGCATCTCGAGAGCAGCAGGACCGCCGGCCTCACCAACACCGACTCCGCCAGACACAACCTCGCTTCCGCATTTGTCAATGCCTTTGTCAATGCGGGTTATGCTAACGACAAGCTCATGTTGGGCGAGGCTACTAAGACTAGCTGGGTATGGAAGACCAAAGACGAAGGCATGCTCTCAACAACCGCGTCTATGGGTATGCTTATGCTCTGGGATGTGGAAGAGGGTCTTGACAGAATTGACCCCTACACCCAAGTCGAAGAGGACATGGTCAAGGCTGGTGCTATGCTCGCCACTGGTATCTTCAACTCTGGAGTACGAATGGACTCTGATCCTGCTATGGCTCTCCTGGGAGATGAGGACAACATAAATTCCAAGAACAAGAACATTCGTTTGGCTGCCATCATGGGTCTTGGTCTTGCATACGCGGGGTCGAACAAGGAAGACCTCCTCGATGTCCTCTTGCCGGTGGTCAGTGACACTACACTCGACATGCAGATCTCTGCTATGGCAGCATTGTCTCTTGGAATGATTTTTGTCGGCTCCGCCAATGGAGACGTCACAGACGCCCTGATGAACACTCTTTTGGACGAGGACCGAACCAAGCAACTCAAGGACAAGTGGACTCGTTTCATGGCCCTTGGCCTTGCTCTACTCTTCTTTGGCCAACAAGAAGAGGTCGACGTTATCCTGGAAACATTGAAGGCTCTCGACCACCCCATGGCCAAGTCTGCCTCTGTGCTTACTGAGGTGTGTGCGTGGGCAGGTACTGGTGCTGTGCTGAAGATCCAGCAACTGCTACATATCTGCAATGAGCACATTGAGGACGAGAGCGAGGAGAAGAAGGGCGACGAGCTCCTTCAGTCATATGCGGTTATTGGTCTTTCACTAGTCGCTATGGGCGAGGACGTCGGCCAAGAGATGATTCTGCGCACTCTCGGTCACCTGATGCATTACGGCGAGGCTAACATCCGCAAGGCTGTGCCTCTTGCTCTGGGTCTCATCAGCCCTAGCAACCCACAGATGAAGGTCTACGACACCCTTTCAAGATACTCTCACGACAACGACAATGATGTCGCCATCAACGCCATCTTTGCCATGGGTCTCTGCGGTGCCGGTACCAACAACGCTCGTCTGGCACAACTTCTCCGACAATTAGCCAGTTACTACCACCGCGATCCCAACGCGTTGTTCATGGTCCGCATAGCGCAAGGTCTCTTGCACGCTGGCAAGGGCACGCTTTCGCTCAACCCATTCCACACTGACCGCCAGGTCCTATCTCGCGTCGCAGCTTCAGGTCTCCTTACCGTCCTTGTATCTCTCATTGATGCCAAGTCCTTCGTTGCCGGCGACTCACACTACCTCCTCTATTACTTGGCTACTGCCATGTCACCACGCTTCCTCATTACTCTCGATGAGGAACTCAAGCCACTCACAGTCAACGTGCGTGTTGGTCAAGCAGTAGATATTGTGGGTCAGGCTGGTCGTCCCAAGACCATCACTGGGTGGCAAACACAGAGCACACCGGTGCTGCTAGCACATGGCGAGAGAGCGGAACTGGAAGACGAGAAGTACCTCAGCTTAACCAATGTACTGGAAGGTGTGGTTATCCTGCGCAAGGTAAGTTAACCCTTCTCAAACCTTTTAATTATGCAAAAAACGCTAACGTAAATAATCATAGAACCCAGAGTGGGAAGACTGAGCGAAACGATCAAAGCCAAAAAAGGAAAAGATCAAAGGAAAGGAACGAAAAAGAAACGTGACATGATTATTGGCCCGCTTTCTGCGTTTCCCTTTTTATCGTTTGTAGAACATAGGCAGCATTTGTGCACAATCGGCACTTTTGTACATCCTAATAGATTTTACGCGGGGGTTTTGTTGCCCTTCTGCCTTGTATCACATCCTTTTGCATTGTGACTACGTCATGTTCTTTTTTTTTCCTCTGAAACTACAGTGATTGAAGGAATTGCACAATAGGAACAAGGCCAACTGTTGGATACGCATGCTAAAGTAGCAAGTGTAGATTACCATCTTGACAAGGCGCATATGTGTTTTGCATTCTGTATAACGTATCCAACATGATGGGCGATTCATCTGACAAACAGTCAAGACTATAAGTGTCAGTCCCTTACAAACAATAAATCTTTGTCTAAGTAATGGCAGTACGGTACGGCCTATCCGTGACGGCTCATATTCCCACAAAAGCAACGAGAGCTAGGTTATGCACAGTCAAAGAGCACCAAAGTCAGACATGCACCTTCAAAGGTAGTCATGGTCAAATTGCATAGCACCAAGAAAATGTATTTTACTAGGAACTATCGAGGCTACGACAAATTCGACCATAGAAACCATCCTTATGAATCCTGCCCTCGCCATCGACGAGGAAACAAAAGAGATATCCCGAATAACATCCTAACATCCTTTTGGTTCACTGGCTTGCCCAGATACTAACAAATACCTCTAAAATGTGAAAGAAGAAGCCCCCCAAGCATAGTCATTAGAGAGGGACGCGAGCCTCATTTCGATGAGAAGGATATGTTCCAGGTGCCGAGGCTAAGAACAAAAGTATTAAGGGCCCCACTGTGTGAAGATAGAGACGAGAGTGGGTTGCAGAAATGAATGTCGAAAGCTCAAAGCTTCAGACACAGTGCTGCGATGTGATGCGTTGAGATAACGGGTTCCAGGCAGCTTGTGCTCATCGTATGCGACCATTGCCAAAGAAGTCTCCAAGAGGATACCACATTTCGATGCTGACACAGCAGTTGTGAAGAATAGGTACGAGAAAGGTGACTTGGAAAGATGTGCGTTCAGTCGTTGCGGTTGGAGAACCGGCTTGGCGAAGCCGACTTGTCATCAGCCTTGACTGGAGTCGCGGGGTTTGTCTTGACTTCAACACCATTCTCCGAAGTATCATCGTCGCTCTTGATGGGTCCGCCCTGGGGCATGTAGTAGACAGAAGACCTAGCAGGGCCCAGTGTAGATGGTACTGGGGGCGACCATGGCTGCCGCTGACCGCGCATGAACATCTCGAATTCGTTGGCGTGGCCTGGCGAAATCGGGGACGCGGAAAGGTAACGATCAGGCGTTCCCAGAGCCCTGGCCTGAGCAACGCCGACTTCATACTCTGCAGCACGAAATACGCGGCCTGCAGCAGTTTGTTGCTTCAGCATCTTCTGCTCATGTGTATCTGAGAAGCGGATCTGAATGAGATGTTCCTCGCCACCAGGCTTAGACACAGGAGTATTGTTGAATTCCTTGATGACCAGGTCGCAGATATCGCGAGATTCAAAACTAATGACGGTTAGTGATGTCCGACTGTTGATAGAAGGTGCTACGTCTTACCGAGCAAAGCCGACACCACGGCCAGTGCCAGAAGAGTCACGGAGTATTCTGCTCGAACACACTTTGTGAGGTGCGAATATTGAAGCGAGTTCCTGGTTCTTGTTAGAGATAGAGAGAGAGGAAAAGACGAGTTTTGTGGTCACTTACATGCTCATTCATGTTCTTGGGAATGTTGGACACATAAAGATTGGTGTTGCTCTCGTCAGCGAACTTCTTGAGCTTAGAGTAGAAGGATTCCTAAAAGAGATTAGCAAGTTAGGACAAGTGCTTGGGCAATCGAAACATACACGAGCGAAGCTGACTTCGTATCCAAGATAGTGAAAGCCACGAATGCAGTCCTCAGCATCCTCGAAGTTATGATATTTGATGAAGCCGAACCTGTATCAATGAGTCAGTAAGTACAGGGGTATGACGAGCAATAAGTCACTTGCCCTTTGCAAAGATTGGTCTTGAGGTCAATGATGGACTTGGAGCTCTGAATGTCACCAAAGCGCTTGCCCCACATATGAAGCATCTCATCCGTAGTCTCAGGAAGCAGCCCACGGATGTAGACGTTGGTCTCACCAGTCTTGTTCTCTAGGCTACGGTCGAGTGGCTTGTGTGGGGAGCTAGGAGCGGGAATAGCCCGGGGAATAGGTGGCTCTTGGTGCACCAGCGACAGCAGATGCGGAGGCAATGTAGGTATGGTTTGCTGCTTCTGTATCGGGGCCATGACCTGGTAGGGATGGGCCAACTGTGATGGGGAAGGGGTAGCACTGCTCAAGTAAAGTGCGTTTGGGGAACGGTCCATGATAGCAGTGTTGTTGCCGTAACGGTACATGCCACCACTACCGTGAGGTGTGCCAGGGTTGTCATTCTCATTGGAGGAGATGGAGTCACGGCGGGGCGTCATGAGCGATGGGATCTCCGCCGATGACATACGAGTCGCCCAAGCAGGTGGAACAGGGCTGTTGTCGATGACGCCTTGGCCATACTGATATGCTGCCTGCTGAACATACGTGCCAGCATGGCTATACATGCCAGGAGAAGGTGTCATACCGGCCTGATGCTGAGCGCCAGGTATCATCGGATACATGGATCCAATGACATGCTGGTTCGGGACCCAGAGTCCCTGGCCATTGGAGATTGGGATATTGCCGTAGTCGGAAGAACCGCCTGGTAGTGCAGAGTTGGCAGGCTTAGAAGTAGCGGCGGATCCATATGGGGCGTGCATGCCGAGGACTGCCATGTTGTTCGTCAGACCTTGCATTCCATTATCACCATGGGGGGACATAGGCAGACCTCGGGGGAGGTATTGGGCGGACCCATGACCTTGATTGTTGAGCACATGCTGACCCTTGTATCCGGCAGTAGGAGCCCCGTAGCTCTGTTGACGACCGTTGGCAGCCATTGCAGAGGCTTTGCAAGGGAAATAGAGCTGAGAGCAAAGAGACAGCTGGCTGAAAGAGTGTCGTCGCGCCCTTGAGCTGCGAGTAGTTCTGGGCAGACTGAGGATGCGGACCTCGGAGGAAGACGAGGTTGGGTCTCAACAACGGGTGCGAACAGGAAAACTGAAATGCAGAGAAGAAGGTTGCTCTGGGAAGAAGGTTAGCCTTAATCCTAGTGAACAGGGTGTGACGTAGCGGAATCGTATGGTGACGAATGAAAATGAAAGGGGAGGGCTTCCTATAGCGACTCGAGAAGTGCAGGGGAGCTAGTGGACTCGAGACGGTGAAAGTGAGAAGCCACCTGGCATGGTGAAAGGGGCTTACCAGGTCGTAAATGTCAAGCTTTTGCAATGTGCGGGGGACCGGTAGTGACTCCAAAGCTGTTGGACAGTCAGCATCGGCACGATGGATGATAGCAAGGCATCAAGGTGTATTGAGATGGATGACTGACCGGCGAAAAGCTACAAAGAATGTGGCCACTGATGCGTACTGGTGAGAAAGAGACGAAGAAGAGTGGAGGAGAGAAGAAGAGAAATGGGAGGGCGAAGCCAGATGTGGTACAAGAGGGCGGCGCCCAGGCGTTGCAGAAGGGAAGGAGCCACGGCGGTGTTGTCTTGGTGAACATGGCGGTGCAGAGGCAGGTGGAAGTCTCGTCCTCTCCTCGACAAGGAAGCCGCCCAGCAACACGGAGGTAGAGAGCAAGGGGACTCACCTTCCTAGCAATGCAAATTCTGAAGTCAATCGTATCACCAAGATATCCACGTATACAGCAACGACGAGGGCACCTGCGTTTCGGTGGCGGCGAGTTCCGTTTAGATGTCGTTCCGGCAAATGCCTTAGGGAATACTGTTGGAAAAGCTATTGCAAGTATCAATGTCAAAATTTGGCGGTCATGAAATGTGCGGTCTTCTGTTCCATCTTCTTCACTACGGCGGAATGTTGGTCTAATATATCACATGAGGGCGTTACGTCGTGGAGCTGTGCATGACGATACATTTGGCCTCGTGAGAGCAGCACGAAAGCCGTAAAAGTATGTGGTATCAGCCGTTGTGTATCTTGCGTGCATCCCACGGGCGCAGCCGTCACCTCCCCGTGTGTAGCAGACAGACGACATGGCGTCCCCTCCTGCAGCAGCCAAGTTTCCCCCAGAATATAACGGTAAATGCAGCCACACCGGCCTTGCAGCAGGGCTGAGAAGCGCTGCAACAGAATCACAACCGCAAGGCTTCGTTGCTGGCCACTGGATATTTGAACGCTACCAATACATCTCTTTTCCATCGCTCGAGATCCGTCGTACCTCCCTACCTGGTACGGATTTGACCTGTCGTTTTGTGACTTGTACACTCCCTCTAGCCCTCGGAATCGCGCAAAGACCTGTCTCCCATGTTCTTAGACGTGTATGGTTCTTGTTTGAGAACTTATCAGCAAGCATCGTGTTGGTTATGCTACACAAACAGAGCGCTCCTCCTTTCATATCATCTTGCCAGCTTGTTTTCCACCTGTGACAGCGTCCCGGCCGGTGCATGTGCAGCACGCTTGTAACCCGCGCGACGAGCCGGCGCCGTGCAGCCAGCGCCGTCTGTGAAGATGTGGATCAAGAGCTCAAAGCGGATGCGTGGAGACCCACACGATACCGTTGAGGAAGCGCCTTCGAGTGATGAGAGCCTATGGGACACCAGATTGAGAGTCACCAGCTCCCTTCCTCTAAATATATTCGGTACCCGACGGTTTTCTGCTATCGGCGACGGTAATGCAAATGCAAGGGCGGATCCACAGGTTTGGGTCTACCCAGCTCATTCGAACAGTGCACCCAACGTCATTTTCTCAAGAAACAAGACCAACAAGCCCACACTTTGCGTGCAACGCGTGCCTCGGAGTAAAGACGAGAGAGGCTATCGAATTTTGATCAGTACATGAAAGGCTTGAAGTGCAGCCAGAGCAAGAGATCATATACTGACTAAGATTGTATACGTGCCCCTCTCAAGTCCTCGGGAAGTGGATACCTGAAGCCATCTTTTCTACTCAAGTGATACGAGCTTGACAAACGGAGACTTGTCCGCTTCCTCGCGTGGTGCATGGGCGCTACCGAACCGATTACCGTGTCGCATAGGCTGCTGCGCAACTATCCGAATCGTCGTCCGGCTGTTAAAACATCCATGCTCGTGTAGTGGCCCCATGCCGATATCGCAGAGTCAGAGTCGACTGACTGCTGCCCAGCAAGTAGCAAAGGAACCAGGGAGTCCAGGGAACCCTGTAAGAGTGGCGCTTCAAGGTACCGTCATTCGTCAGTTGTCCACGCCATGCCTGCCTGTAAGGACTGTTCAAGAGAATTTTACATGTCGTGCGGCCGTTGGATGTCGCATGTTCATGGCACGCATGCGTCCATGCAATGGCTTATTCCAGTTCGTAGAGAGCTGCTTCAGCCTTGGTCCGTCATGACTTCAACAATGTTACTCGGTCCAACCTCATACCTGGATTCTGGATCTCCTCGCTACCACGATCGTAAAAAAAAAACGACAATGAGGCTGACCAAGCCCTTCCCAGTCGCATCTACAGCGCCGTACAACACGCAGAAACGATCAAGCCATGACATGTAAAAGGGATTCCATGGAGCCTCGACTCACTGCGTTCAGGATGATGTTGAGTAGTTGCCCCGCAGATGCTCAGGCGGTGGCGGGGAGTGACTGGCTCACGCCGACCTACAGTCAAGAAAGTCACTGTGGATGCAATGCGCGGTCAGGTAGATACAGAAAATGACACTTAACCGGGACTGTTGTGTAATGTCCTGTCGCAGACCTGAGGGTTGTGGCCTATATGACTATATATGCCTGCAACTTTGAGCAATTGGGGCCTGCCACGCGACAATCCTGGCACGCAAAGTAAAATGTTGGGGGCCGCCTCTAGGCCTTGTGCCCAGAGCAGTGCATAGATGATTATCGCGGCGCAGTCGTTGCTGAGAACCACGAGGGCCAAAGTGAACAGCTAGTCCCGGCTTGGCGTGTATGTATGCATAGTAATGGAAGTTGGTGGAAGAGATGAGGTTAAGGGGGAGCAACACCAACACAAGTCACTACATGAGCAGGACCAGTCAGTACCAGCAGTCACGCCTAGCGGAACTTGTCCATTTCACAGCAGAACGCCACTACATGAAACTGTGCAGAGTTCAATATCCTTATTCTGATACAGCACCTACATCAACCCTAGCCAGAGCGAGATAAGATACAGAGTACAGGCGTCATTATCTATCAAACGACGTCTTCGCATCGCAGGCTATGCCAAAGTACGCGTTCCAACAGCATTAAATGAACTTATTGCGCGACAAATCCAAACCCAAAAGGGCCCAAGACCAAATGTTGTTGTTAGATCAAACGCCGCCGTCCACTCCAGATCTAACCGTGAAAATGCATGTTCTAGAAGCCGTGTCCCCAGACGCCCTTTTATTTCCAGTCTCGCCTCTCATGACCAGACATCTTCCTGGTACTGATTTGATGCCCTCATGGCCTTTACAATCTCCTCACCCTTGGTCTCAGACACGTTTCGGTACTTGGAGATGATCTTGCCGAGCAGGGTGTTTACCTCACGGGCCATGTGTGCGGCATCACCGCAGACATAAAAGTAAGCCTTTTGCTCGAGCAGCTGGTTGAGGACCTCGCCATTCTCTTCAATCTTGTGCTGCACGTAGACCTTCTGGGGTCCATCTCGAGAGAAGGCTGTGTGCATTTCGAATTTGTCGCCGAGGTCTTGTTGGTATTGCTGCACGCCAAGTTAGTAAGAGGGCAACCGTCAAGAAAGAGTAACGTGAACTTACCTTCCACTCGTCAGCATACATGAAGTCTTCTGCTTGTTTCCTGCATCCAAAGAACAAAACAGTCTTGCCAACGTTCTGGCCAGCCTTGGCTTGCGCAGCTCGCTCTTGGATAAAGCCACGGAAAGGCGCGACACCGGTACCAGGGCCAACCATGATGATGGGCTTTGAGGGATCCGAGGGAAGCTTGAAGTTGGAGTGGCGGACATGCACTGGGACGTGAATACCATCGTACTTGTTGCGGGGACCGGTAATAGCGTAGTTGAGGCCATGGGGATCTGGGTTGGGGTCTCCGTGCTGCTTCTGTTTAAGGGCAAGCAGATAGTTGGTAGTGACACCTTTGAGAGCATATGGCGCGCCTGGCTTCTCGATGGACTCGACGACGGCAGTGATGGAGATCTTGTCTTTCTGTACCAACGAGGATGAGGAGATTGAGTAGTAGCGGGGCTGAATCTTGACCATGGTCTCAAAGAGGAAGGAAAAGGGGATCTTGTCCCAAATGGCGCCCTTTCCGGTAATCTCGAGGAGTTGTCCTAGGTTGAGGTTGCGATCGGTGACTTGCTCTTTGAAATAATCCCTGTCGCCACCAAGCTTTGTGATTTCAGCCTTGATGTCGTCGTTGGGAGCAAACTGGGCAATGACTGAGACGAGTTGACGAGACACAGCAGCGTTGATTTCAATGTGGTAGCGGATAGCGGCATCGTAGGTGGTCGGCGAAGGGAAGGGAACCTTTGCAGTGGGGTCGAGACCTTTGACGGCAATGACGGTATGACGCTTATCTTCCTTTCCGAGAACCTTGAACAAGCGATCGACTTCCTTGCCAGCGTTAGTAGGCCAGATGGCGATGTGATCACCAGTGGTGTAGGACAGGTTGGAGCCAGCGATACTGATTTCCATGTGCAGACAGTTTCGGTTAGGGTCAGAGAAGAGCTCGTGGGATTCGACAATAGGGGCAATGTAGGGGTTGTTGGCGTTGAAGGGGCCCTTTTGGTTTCCCTCGAGGTGGTTCTTGTTGGGCTCGCCGAGGAAGACGGTGTCGTCTTCGGGGGAGAGTTCTGGCTTCTCGGTGACCTCGAAGACGGGCTCGTACAAGGCTTCGCGCTCTTCCAAGCCCAGGTTTTCGGCAACGGCAGCCCACATGGGTTCCTTCCATGCGAGGAAATCCTCTTCCATGGTACCAGCACCATCGTCACCCTCACCAGCCGAGCCCAGGCGGGTAGCACCAAGCTTTGTCAAGAACTCGTCGACTCTGCGGACCATGACATTGTAGTGTTCGTATGTGTTGTTGCCGAGACCGAATGTGACGTACTTGAGTTTGCCGAGAGGCTTGTCGTTGATGCCGCCGCCCTCGGAAAAGGTGATGTCCTCGGAACTGATAAACTCGTAAAACTCGACGGCGTTGTCTGTGGGCTCGCCCTCGCCGTAGGTGGCCAGGACGAAGACGGCAAGCTTGTCTTCGGGGAAAGTATCGAGATTCTCAAAGTCGTATTCCTCGAGATCGGCAACCATGGTCTTGAGACCGAATCGTGACTGGCCCTCCTTGGCGATACGCGAGGCATAGTCCTCGGCGGTGCCCGTTTGGCTGCCGTAGAAGACAATGCAGTTCTTGTCCGTCTCGTTCATCTTCTCAATGAAGTTGCGGGACTTGCCCGCTTTGTCTGCGCCATTGGCCGAGGCCAGAGAGCTGCCGTATGGGTTGGCGGAGACGGCCCAGTAGGTGCCCTTTGTGAAGTAGGCGACGGTGCCGACGAGCAGGACGGCCAGCACGGCAATGTCGAGGGTATCGAGTTGGGCCATGGTGCTGGGAGAGGCGTTAGCAGGAGGCACGAGAGAAACGAGGGCGGAGGGGCAGCGCTGACAATGTTATCTCTCACTCGGCAACCGAAGGCGGGCAAGCGAGAGGGCAGTAGTATTTATGTACAGGCAACGTTGCAGCGGCCCTGGAGCATGGGCAGCGGCTGTCGGGGCCTGGGACTCAAACACAGTCTTCTGCAACCTGGTATTCGCCAGGCAATGTGTGACACTTACACCAGCACACGGAGGAGCGTGGGATGTAATACCTTTTTTTTCTTCCCCTCTGGCTAGGGGTCTGCGCGCGTTTTGTGCTGTGCAGTGTCCTGCTGACGAGGCGATCGTTAGGGCCAGATAGTGCCGTCACAGACAAGAGCCGGAGCCGATTCGTCCCGTCCCAGACTGGCTGCCATCTGCCACCACCGGCTATGGAGCCCTGGGTTTCCCGAAGGCGAAGCCCTCCCTGCCTGCCTGCTGGCCGCATTAGTGAAGAGGCCGCCGGTCGAGCAATGCCGACCAACGCTCACGCCAGACGATCGGTCACTGTCCGCAAGCCCGACAGTCGGCGCGGACGAAAGTGCAAGTCGAAATGCTGCTCCGCCAGAACAGGGCAGCCCTGGGCCCGCCTTGACCGGCGTTTACTACGTATGTCGATACGTACACAGTAGTAGTACTATACGCGTGCGAGCACTGCTTGCCGCCAAACTTGCCTGGCCCGTACACACGTACTAGGTATTGGACACTTAGCTGCTTACGTACACACATAGGTAGCTACTAGCACGTACACGTCTATGCCTACCACTCACACTACCTACTTACTGCAAATAAGCATCTGACCTGATTAGCTGCTTGGCTGTTATAGTCCTAGTGGCAAGCTCACCACCCCCGGCGGCAGCCAAGTCATTGGACAACAAGCCTGGTTTTTTGTTGACATCAATCATCTCCGAAGATTGTGCTTCTCGGCCACTCGAGTGATCCAGCTGGGCAACATGCAGTGTGAGTGCGACAAGTCGACGGCTTTCCGCTCTAAAAATACCGTGTAGCATACATGTCGACATCTGTCGGCGTAGTGTACATATACCAACAACATACGTCAGTTTACTAAGCACCCAATCGGGGCTGGCGTCATCACCCGCTGTCTGCAGCAAAGCAGCAATTTTTTGCCAATTTCACATGCCAGTGTGCGACTAAGTACTAAGCCCGACTGCCCAAGTTTGGCAAACTACCGTCTTCCCATGGCAGACTTGCCTGGCTTCGATCGGGTTCGATCGGGTTCGTCCGTTTACATACACTCACGTACCCGCTATTAATTACGGAGAGTAGCGAGCCGCCGATTTCCCTGTGCGTGCACGGTAATAGACCTCATGGGGCTAGTGCTTCGGAGAATGGACGGATCTAAGTGTGGATAGGTTTCATTTCCTGTAATACGCATAGTGAGTAAGTCCTTACTTACTTACATACATACATATGTACGCACATACGTATACCTCTTTCCAGTCGTGTTCGAGACTGCCCGTGGAGCACTTCAGTCTACTTACTTGTACCACTACTGCTACAACGTAGTAAGGGAGGGGGCTGTCAGCCAGCCAGCCAGCCAGCCAGCCAGCCAGCCCGAGGTTCTAGTTCTAGTCCGGCCAATTCACGTGACGCTCCTCTCGTCCTCCTCTGTCTGTACCCAGCCAAGGCACGCAGTCGATGACGGCCTGCAACCCGAGCAGGATGCCTCTCACGTGCACTTCAACGCCGCGGTGCCGGCCCTTGTCCTCTCGAGGCCGCGTCCCAAGCTTGTGCTTGCATGGCCAAATTGGTCCTCCACGTGGGATTGCACATTAAATCCGGATGGATCTCCAGAGCCGCGACGCTGCCGGAGCGCCATTGATGATCGTTGCCGCCAAATGGGCTAGCCGTCAGGCACAGGGCAAGGGTCTACCCACTCCCTCGACCCCAAAAGACATCAATGACAGCCAGCGCGTCCCCCTCACCCGCCCTGCCTTTGTTGTCGTGACCCTCTGGCGACGGGCTGCAAGATCCTCCGTCAGACGTGGAAGATGCTGCACGGCAAGTCGGCGCCATGTGTAAGTAACTTTCTCCCCCCGTCCACCCCCTGTGACTCTCTAGGCGTCCCCAACCCGGGACACGGTACCGTGAAACACCCTCCCCACACGGCTCGCCTCTGGACTACTATGCCGGCCCTCTGCTGTGCCATGCTCGGCCGTAGATGGTCGTCGAGACGACTTTACTGCTTTGTTGCAACTGCTTTGTGCTGACCCGTCCTGTGCCTGTTAATCAGCAGCGTTTCCTCTCTTGCAAGCCCGGCCACCGGCTGGGAATGTGTCGCACCATATAGACCATCACCCCTCGTCGGCCTCACGCGAGCCCAGCCAGACGCGTGGAAGGGCACTGACAGCCTCGTCACGAACAATTACCTCCCGCTCACAGACGCCCGCCGTAAAAGGCGCAAGTAGCAATTCGAGCCCCGACCGCACCCTGGCCACACTCGAACGCAAGCCCTCGGGCTCTTACGCCCACAATCGCAACACCTCCATCGTGCACGGCATCCAGCACTCGCGGAACACCAGCTTTGTCAACTCGCCCGCCACAAGTCCCCTGAGCCCCCAAATCATTGCCGCCGCCGCCGGTGCCACCATCGATGGAGCCGTCATGTCGCAAGAATCCATAGCCGATGCCTTTGCTGCAAACGGCATGCAACCTGGCTCCGGGATTCCCTTTGCAAGCCCTCCCCTCCAGCCAGTCCATGCCGATGGCTATGCTCCCCTGCGCAAGCCTGAGCGGGCGCCCAGTTCGAGATCCTCGCGCAAAGGCCATAACCACCACCGCTCTCAATCCCGCCACCCACAGCACCCCCATGAGCTCAAGACAGTGGGCGAATATGCCCTACACCACCTCTTTAATTCCTTCATCAGCCAGGCTGAGCACAAGATCAACCAATGTACAACAGAAAGAGGTCAGCCCGAGGCAAAGGTTGAAGGCGTTTGCGGTCCTGGGGTAGACCCAACCTTTGACCAGCTTATAGCCGCCCTGGGTCATATTGCTCGCCAGAAGCCCAAGCCCCTAATCGACACCATAATGCTATGGCGCAAGGCAAAGAGTGAGGAGGCGTCCAAACAGCGCACCCAGCTGCTCAATGTAGGCCCTCCCCCCCCCCCTCGAATTGACTTTTGAGAGACGACGACCTTACTGATGTATCCAAGGCACGGCAAGCCAGTCCAATACCCCATCCCCACCCCGCCCTATCCCGGCGAAACACCGAGTCGACGCAACAGCCAGACAGCCAGCCCCCGGCCTCGGTAGCATCGCCCGCTGAGCACATTCTTGCACTACAGCATACCGTGACGCAGGCTGAGCAACGCTCCACCGTCTCCACATATATCCTCTGTCGTGTCTTGATTGAGATCATGACCCAGACCGATCTTCAGAATCTCACGTTCGAGATGGCCGATCGCCTTCTGGGTCTATTCTATGGCCAACTCAGCACGGTAGACCCAGACTTGGTGGATGTCTCGTCTCTCAACCTCGCTAATTGGACTATTTATAGCCAGCTGCTTGGTGTACTGAGCGGACTCATCTTCGAGCAAGTGCAAGAGAAATTCATTGCCGACTTGAAAATGGTGGATAGTCATTTAGCTGCAAAGAACCAGTACAACAGGGATCATGAGGCAAAAGGCGCCTTGTTGATCCGCGCGCTAAGGCACATGAAAGTTGAGTCTTACCCCGAAGAGGTCTGGGACCGGACGTGCGACTTCATGCTTTCAATGGCAAAGCTCTTTACCAGTGCCCATGGACAGCCGGTCAAGTATGCTTACTGCCAAGTGCTGAGGGAACTGCTACTCCGCATCGCTTCGAAAGCGACCGTAGAGCTCAATACACCCAAGTGGAAGGCCGTGATCGAGCTTATGAAGCAGCGCGCTGCCATATTGCTCGGCAAACCCAAACATTGGCATGAAGCCTTCCCACTCATGGCTGCGATCCTGTGTGCATCTCCTACTGACATATTTCTTTCCCAATGGCTCGCACTGGCCCTGTCGACTCAGCCCCGGCTCAAGGAACGCACAACTAGACCTATTGCCCTTCGTGGCATATGTCGACTCGTGTGGACCTACATATACCGACGAGGCACCGAGGCTCCCAATGTTGCTGTGCGCCGACTAGACGAGATCATACGGATGGTGTTCCAGCCTGGAAGAAGATCGTATCTTTCCACCGAACCTGTGATAGCGGAACCTTTGATACAGCTCACGCGCATCATTGGCTACAGGTACCAAGACCTTTGCTTCAAGACAATTGTATTTCCCCTTCTCAACTCGGACATGTTCACGTCAAATCGAGAACTGCGCGTCGAAAATCTCGAGCCCGAGCGTATGGTCATTGGAATTCGCTCATTCCTTGCCATCATGGCAGACCTGGAGAACACTGAGCAGCCGCCTTTTCCACTGACGTTTGATTACGATCCCAATGCATTGTCAAACGAGCTACCTGCGCTTCCCAGTAGCCCGCGGCCTCTACAACCACTGCCTATAAAGTCTAGCCTGCTCAAGGAAGAGCGTCTTTCGCGTCCCGTTGACTTTAGCGGTTTTACCGAGGTGGCGAAAGAGCACTATGTCCGATTTTGTAAAATTTTGGGCGAGATCACCATTATTTGCGATAATGCATTTGGTGGACAAGCCGTTCTGGACGAGAAGTTCTCTGTACAGACACCAAAAACACCCATGGCGGACGCTTTTAGCTTTGGTCGTCGCGAAGATAACCTAACCACTACAGATCCTCGGCAAGGGTTTTATGATCTACTACACGTAGCCGTCCAGGCTTTGCCTCGTTGCTTGTCCCCGCACATCCCGTTCAACTCTCTCGTCAATCTTTTATGCACGGGAACGGCGCATGTTCAAGGAAGCATCGCAGTATCATCGGCCCAGTCCTTGAAGTCTATAGCACGACAATCTCATGCTCAACAAGTTACAATCGGGTTTGCACGATTCATCTTCAATTTCGACGACCGGTATGCTACAATGTCTGACGGTGGCATGCTCGGTCCCGGGCATATTGAGAACACATTGAAGCTCTATGTCGAACTGCTTCAGATATGGATCGAAGAAATCAAGCGAAAGACACGCAAAGCAGCACTGGACACCCCAGATGATGGCTCTGGCAATCGCGCTGCTCAGCTTGACCTTTCATCGGTATGGGCTCATGTCGAGGAGGTCGAGTCTCATGGTATTTTCTTCTTGTGTTCACCTTCCCGCCGTGTTCGTTCTTATGCCGTTACCGTACTCCGCCTCATCACCGAGTTTGATACAGCTCTTGGAGGCTCAAACACTAGGATCATTCGCGTCATGGAGGGCAGCCCGCAGAGAGTCCTTGATATTAGTGACGACACATTGTCTTTAGCAGAGCGGAGTCGCCTACAACGCGGTATGCGCAAAAGCAACGTACAGAGCACACTCGTCGAGCTGTGTAGTAGTGATATACCCTACGACTCCACTTTATGGTTCAAGATTTTTCCAAACCTGGTTCGAATCAGTTTTGAGATTTGTCCTTTTGCTGTCACGCTCACTCGGGACATTGTTTGCGCAAGACTATCTCAAATGTATCGAACTCTATCTTCCCTGGCTGAAGGCCAACGTTCAACCCCATACTCGCCCCACGAGCCCGCCAGTAACAGACCCAGTGGTCGCCTTGCTTCCACGGCGCCGGAGATTGTAGTCGAGCAATGGAAACTCTACCTTATCTTTGCGTTTACCACATTGACCAGCTTGGGTCCAACAGCCACTTCAGCCACGCAGGGACATCATTCACGGAAGAGCTCCAAGTCTTCACAGACGAGCACGACTAAATTGCACACTGCTACAGAACTGTTTTCCAAGGTCTTGCCATTCCTCTCCGTGGAAAATGGCGCCATACGAGATGCTGCTGTCATCGGCCTTGGGTCTGTCAATCTCAACCTCTACCGCACGCTACTAGAGTCCCTTCAAGGGATTGTAGCAGCTTGCTCAGAGGAGGCCAAGATGCGTCTGGGCAACCACAACAGAACCATCAGCAACCCGCGGCCGATGAACTACCGAACCGACCATCTTCGAACCGAGATTACGCATGTATACAAGCTGACAGCGCAACATTTTCTAAAGTCACCTGAGGCCTACAATGATGAGTGGATCATCAACAACCTGATGAACTACACCAAGGACCTTAGGATCTTTCTCAGCGACGCGGAAGTTCAGCTCGAAGCACGGTATCAGAAGCTACGCACGCATTACTGTGGCCTAGTGGAAGTTCTTTTTGTGGGTATCAACAAAACAGCAGACCCTCTGCACTGGATGCCATTCCAGGCCCGAAAAGCTGCCTTTACATTGATGGAAGACTGGTGCGGGTACTCTGCGAATCAACATCAAGTTCGGCAGCGTGAGGAACAGATGCGCCGTACCATTCTCGACCGGGAACTAGACACAGCCAACAAGGGCAGTGCGACAGCAGCGCTTGAAATTGAGAAACGGGACCTTCGGACCGCCGCTTTGAGCGCCATGGCTGCATTGTGTGGTGGGCCGGTCAGTATTACGACCGATAGCAAGGTTTTGCTACAGTTCGATGTCATGCGCATTCTTTCTTGGATACAAAGTATCTTCGAGACACCTAGTGACCGGACGCACGCTATTGGTCGCCGGGCGCTTTCAAACCTGATTCTTCACAACCGCGAGCATCCATTTCTGCTGGATAAAGCAATCGAGATGTGCTACCTCGCTCCCTCTGGGAAAGCCCTCTACAGCTATTTCTCAGTTGTCACCCAAGTTCTTACACAACATGAAGACTACACCTTGCCGTTCTGGAAGGTGCTCAGTGCGGGCCTGTATACACTGGGCCATGAGAACAGCGAGATACGTATGAAGTCTGCTCG